GCTCTCTCGCGCGCGCTCTCTCTCTCTCTCTCTCACGCACTCTCTCGCGCTCTGTCTTTCGTGCTCTCTCTCTCTCGCGATTTGTCTCTCTCGTGCTCTCTCTCGCGATTTGTCTCTCTCGTGCTCTCTCTCGCGCTCTCTTTCTCTCTCGCGCTCTCTCTCGCGCTCTCTTTCTCTCTCGCGCTCTCTCTCGCGCTCTCTTTCTCTCTCTCGCTCTCTCTCTTTCTCTCGTGCTCTGTCTTTCGTGCTCTCTCTCTCTCTCTCTCTCTCGCAATTTGTCTCTCTCGCGCTCTCTCTCTCTCGTTCTGTCTCTCTCGCTCTTTCTCTCTCTCGCGCGCTCTCTCTCTCCCTCTCTCTTTCTGCCGGGTTCGCGCATTTTAGATAAGTTGTTCGGCAGAACAACGCGTGATGGCTCCGAGCAAAATTAATTTCTTCTCGATAGAATCTTAACGACAAGCGGAGTAGCGTCGCGCGCGCGGCTTACGCGCGCAGAGCGGCCGTTTATTTTTTAATCAGCGTTTCACGATCGCGCGCGGACCCGTTTGCGGGTTCGTCGTTAGACAGACGACTAATCGAGAAACACTCCGAACGAGTCCGCACACACACGGCTTATCAGGGATCCCGATCCGCATGAGAGAGAGAGAGAGAGAGAGAGAGAGGGAGAGAGAGAGACGATCCTTAAACGATCCGATACAATAGCTGCCGCGCAAATATTGGACTTCCATCGAATTTCTTGCGCCGCGGACAAAGATGTTTCAGCAAACCGTGTATGTATGTACTTACTCGTTCGCTCGCTCGCTGTTTCTAGCTGAAACTGCTTAATAGCCGACAAGTAAACGCGGCGAACGTTTGCGGTAAAGGAAAAAAAAAGACAAACCATTTAATCGGACGACCGATCTTCTGCAATCGAATGAAACAGAACGAAGCTGTTGTTGTTTCAGCAATTTTTGATCAAACACATTCTGTCGAGAACCGGGGAGGGGTCGGTGTTTCGGAGAAGGGGTGGTTCGCATAAGCGGTTTGGAAAACCGCTTTTCATACGCCGCGATTACAATCTTGTTTTATTTTTTCCTTTTTTTTTTTGTTTATTCCACTCCGTTTAATTCTATTCGATTTTCTTGTTTTCATTTTTGTCTTGTTTCGTTTCCAAGTCGATATATACATACATTAACTTGTAAATTTATTCGTAGAAATATGTTCTCGGAAAACTTAGATAAACGTAAAAAACGGGTCAGCAATTATTCGCATCGGTCGAAGGGAAGAAGAGAGAGAAGCGTATGGGAGATCCATCATGTCACGGGCGGGACTTTGTTCGTCAACTGAAACGCAAACGGATTGTTCGAATACGTCGACGAAATGCCCGTCACGATTTATCAGTTGATTCAGGTGCGCTCGATTCACCTTGGCTCATTATTCCAAATCGCGCTCCGCCGCGTTTTCATCGATGGCTAATCGAATTTGCATCATGCCGACGCTGCTCGTCCGCATTTTCCTCTTTAGCCGCTCGTCGATCGCTTCCAAACAAAATTGCTTCATTGTTAGTAACAATAACAATAATAATAATAATAATTATTATTATTTTTTTTTTCTAATTATTATTTTGTATTTTATCCGAGCTCGAGTGTCTGCTATATTATTGTTACAGTACCTCTCGCTGTAGCAAAGGGTTTATCCTGTCGATAAAGTTATTATTATTATTATTATTATTATTATTAATATTATTAATACTACTATTGCTATAATAATAATAATAATAATTAATATATATTATGTAATATAATTATAATAATTATAATAATTATTATTATTATAGCAATGGTAGTAGTAGTATTATTATTATACAATATCTATTATATAATTATAATTATATGTAATATAATGAGTAATAATAATTATTATTATAACGATAGTAATATTAACAATAATAATAATAACAATAATAATAATAATAATAATAATAACTTTATCGACAGGATAAACCGTTTGTTACAGCGCGAGAAAATGCAATAATAATGCAGCAGTCACACAAGCCCGGATAAAATACAAAGATATGAAGCTAGAAAGAATTGTTATGAACGTAAAAATTGTTATAAACGATCTTGGAAATTGAAATCCCTTTTAGCGTAATTTATAATAATTTCGATTAGTCGTGTCCCGACCCGATTCTTCTTTTTCCCTGTGGCGACGTGCTAGCATGACGTAACCGCGTGTGACTCATCCCGTCAGTTCGCTTCGACTTGCAATTTTTGTCTGTTAATTAACAATTTGAGCGCACCGAAAGCCGCTTTGTCCGCCGTTGTCAGACTTGTAAAATATTTCTGGTAACTGTGACGTGCGTGCGCTGTGCAAACGGGATACAGTAATGTCTCCCTAACTGACGCTAAGATTGTGCACAATAATGGACAATTTGGGAAAAGGAGACACGATTATTCGTGCCTCGCGGCTCGTTTTTACGGTTGTTGACAATTCGTACCATAGATTGGAGAACACGCAAGGGTTACTATAAACTGCTGTAACTTTGCGAGAAAAAATCGCAGCCGAGTTTCTTTTTTATCAAATTAAAGGGGAAAGATCGAACTTCGTTCTGCCGCGAACGGCATCTCGGAGAAAAATTGTCCAAAGTCCGTGCGATTCGTCGAACTCGACGATACGACGTATGACGTACGACGAACATGGCCTCGCATTTAAAGGGTTACAGTGGCGAGGATGCGTGGAACTTAAAATCCAGGCACGCTGTCCGAAAGTAGAGGTTTCGAGCTTTAATTTGAAAAAAGAGTCATCGTCCCGAGGTGATTTTTCGCGGAGTTATCGTCGCTCGAAGTTGTCCTCTGTTCGAACTCGATATCTCGCTTCCAAGTACAGTAATGTCTTCCTAACTGACGCACAGATTGCGCACAATAATGGACAATTTGGGAAGAGGAGATACGATTATTCGAGCCTAGCAATTTATTTTTATAGTTATAAATTGTCCACAATTATAAAAACGAGCCGCAAGGCTCGAATAATCGTATCTCCCTTTCCCAAATGATCCAATTTAGTGGACAATCTGAGCGTCGGTAAGGGAGACATTACTGTAGCCGCCAGCGTTGCTCGGCAGAATTTTTCTATCGAGTTCGAGGAGATCGTCGGGGTTGTACAGTAATGTCCCCCTAACTGACGCACAGATTGCGCACAAAAGTGGACAATTCGGAAAGAGGAGATACGATTGTTCGAGCCTTGCGGTTCGTTTTTATAGTTACAAATTGTCAAGAACTACAAAAACAAGCTACAAGGCTCGTATAATCGTATCTCCTCTTCCCAAATTGTCCATTTTTCTAGACAACCTGAGCGTCAATTAGAGAGACATTACTGTAGGCAGCGGATCCTTACTTTAGATCACTGTCCGCGCGAAATAAATTATTTTGCGGATCAAGAGATCGTCAGCGCGATCAAAACGAAAGTACAAGCATCATCGAGTGAACGTTAACACGTATCCGAGCGTTCTATTTGCATCGTCGCTGACCAACTTAGCAACGCTCGAAGTAGACCATAGTTTATGCAAATCGAACGAGACGTCGGTATTAAAATAAGACGTCTTATTTCAGACGTATTTGTGCTATTTGAGTACCGGAGCGTGTGGGCGTGTTTCATTCGAACAAGGATTACTATTTCATTCGAAACGTTGTTCGGATTCAATTGTATTCGGAATATTTACCGAAGCAAATTTTAGTCGAAGAATTTATTTGAATTATTTCTTGAATTAAATTTTAGTCGAAGAATTTATTCGAATTATTTCTCGAATTAAATTTTATTCGAAGAATTTGTTCGAATTATTTCTCGAATTAAATTGTATTCGAAGAATTTGTTCGAATTATTTCTCGAATTAAATTGTGTGTGTATTCGAAGAATTTATTCAAATTATTTCTCGAATTAAATTTTATTCAAAGGATTTAGTCGATTTATTTCTCGAATTAAATTGTATTCGAAGAATTTGTTCGAATTATTTCTCGAATTAAATTGTATTCGAAGAATTTAGTCGAATTATTTCTCGATTCAAATTTTATTCGAAGAATTTGTTCGAATTATTTCTCGAATTAAATTGTATTCGAAGAATTTGTTCGAATTATTTCTCGAATTAAATTGTATTCGAAGAATTTAGTCGAATTATTTCTCGATTCAAATTTTATTCGAAGAATTTGTTCGAATTATTTCTCGAATTAAATTGTATTCGAAGAATTTGTTCGAATTATTTCTCGAATTAAATTGTATTCGAAGAATTTATTCAAATTATTTCTCGAATTAAATTTTATTCAAAGGATTTAGTCGATTTATTTCTCGAATTAAATTGTATTCGAAGAATTTGTTCGAATTATTTCTCGAATTAAATTGTATTCGAAGAATTTGTTCGAATTATTTCTCGAATTAAATTGTATTCGAAGAATTTGTTCGAATTATTTCTCGAATTAAATTGTGTGTGTATTCGAAGAATTTGTTCGAATTATTTCTCGAATTAAATTGTATTCGAAGAATTTGTTCGAATTATTTCTCGAATTAAATTGTATTCGAAGAATTTATTCGAATTATCGAATCAAATTTTATTCGAAGAATTTATTGAAATGAAATTTTCTTCGAAGGGTTATGCGTTTATAAATAATATCGATTACCAGTCTGCATCTATGGCAAACAATTGCTAGACGAAATATAAAATAGTGAAAATATTAAAACGAAAATGTTATTAAAAACGCGTCGATGCATTAACGTGAACTTACTAAAATTATTTCAGACCGTCAAAAAACCGTACATTGGCTTCCGTGACCTGCAAATGATGCAGCTATTTTTCATTTCAGCCGACAATAACGTAATGATATAATAGTAATAATAAACGATAAATTTCTAAAATTCGAGCGAAATATCGTTCCGCCGAGTTTACCGCGTGGTCCGAGCAGTTAGAGAGTAGAAGAAGTTGCAGGTGTGTCGGCCGAGTGTTTTCTAAAAGTTCGGTCTCGGAATTTCTGTTGCAGGCGAGAAGCCTCACAAATGCGTGGTGTGCGGCAAGGCGTTTTCCCAAAGCAGCAACCTGATCACCCACATGCGAAAGCATACGGGGTACAAACCGTTCCAGTGCGGCCTCTGCGACAAAGCGTTCCAAAGGAAGGTGGACCTGCGGAGGCACCGGGAAGGCCAGCATCCAGCGGCCCCGGCTCTGGACTACCGTTCCCTCCAGCTCCCCGCGCAGCCGAACGTCCACTCGCCCCCCATCCAGCCACCGTCCGCATATCATATGATACCGATACCCGGCAACAGTTGAGATCTATCGACGGCCGTCGTCGTCCGACCGCAGTCGCCGCCGGCGTCGCTGCTTCGGCTTTTCCGTCGGGTCTCCTTCGGGCCGATCGCCGCGCCGTCCACGATCCGCACGAGGTACAACGAACGAAGAGGGGGAATGGGGGACAAACGGTAACCGCGGTACACGCTCGCGAACTTTGTAGTACGTACATATGTACTTCTCGTATCGATCGGCGGTGCCGACCGTTTATCGCAGGTGTGAAACTTGCGGCGTTAGGCTGGCCGTCGTGGAAATCGGGACAGAGTTGTGCCGATTCGGTTACATTCGTGTTCGTGTTACATTGCATGTATGTAATTCGATTAAGTGGTACGAACCTTTCGGACGGTTGTATTAGTATTTTGGCCGCGGGTGTTGTTTGCATGCGATGCAACTCGGAATTACGATGTAATTGGTGTTACGATATAATAGAATTACGATGTAATGGAATTACACTGTAACTCGGAATTACGATGTAACTGAATTACAATGTAATTCGAAATTACGATGTAATGGTATTACAATGTAATTCAGAATTACGATGTAATTGAATTACGATGTAATGGTATTACAATGTAATTCGGAATTACGATGTAATGGAATTACAATGTAATTCGCAATTACACTGCGATCAACGTACAATGTAATTGAAATACGAACGCAGTTGAATTACTTTGTAATTTAATTGAACCGCATTCTGAATTGCGAATTACAATGTAATCGAATTGCAATATAATCGAATTACTTTGTGATGACAATTGCTCGAGTAATTCGATTGTAATTCTGCGCAACTCTGTGCGTTGATAACTGGGCCGCGGATCTAAGTCAGAGAAAAGATTCGAACAATCATTAATCGATGCATTATGCTCGTCTTATTGGAGTCATAATAAAGGAGGAGATATAATTAGTATTTTGATTGGATACAATTGGTCTTGCATAAATATCCGCGGTCCGGTTGATAACAACGATACTTAACTAGAGAATTTTGGGAACACTCGCGTTAGTTTCAACTCGTCGGAATCGGTCGCAGATTATCACGCAAAAATTGTAAAATTGAATTACACCGTGCTCGAGTTACAATCTAATTAAATCGCAAAATTGAATTACACCATGCTCGAGTTACTAGACAATTAAATCGCAAAATTGAATTACACCGTGCTCGAGTTACAATCTAATTAAATCGCAAAATTGAATTACACCATGCTCGAGTTACTAGACAATTAAATCGCAAAATTGAATTACACCGTGCTCGAGTTACAATCTAATTAAATCGCAAAATTGAATTACACCATGCTCGAGTTACTAGACAATTAAATCGCAAAATTGAATTACACCATGCTCGAGTTACTAGACAATTAAATCGCAAAATTGAATTACACCGTGCTCGAGTTACAATCTAATTAAATCGCAAAATTGAATTACACCGTGCTCGAGTTACTAGACAATTAAATCGCAAAATTGAATTACACCGTGGTCGAGTTACAATCTAATTAAATCGCAAAATTGAATTACACCATGCTCGAGTTACTAGACAATTAAATCGCAAAATTGAATTACACCGTGCTCGAGTTACAATCTAATTAAATCGCAAAATTGAATTACACCATGCTCGAGTTACTAGACAATTAAATCGCAAAATTGAATTACACCGTGCTCGAGTTACAATCTAATTAAATCGCAAAATTGAATTACACCATGCTCGAGTTACTAGACAATTAAATCGCAAAATTGAATTACACCGTGCTCGAGTTACAATCTAATTAAATCGCAAAATTGAATTACACCATGCTCGAGTTACTAGACAATTAAATCGCAAAATTGAATTACACCATGCTCGAGTTACTAGACAATTAAATCGCAAAATTGAATTACACCATGCTCGAGTTACTAGACAATTAAATCGCAAAATTGAATTACACCGTGCTCGAGTTACAATCTAATTAAATCGCAAAATTGAATTACACCGTGCTCGAGTTACTAGACAATTAAATCGCAAAATTGAATTGCACCGTGGTCGAGTTACAATCTAATTAAATCGCAAAATTGAATTGCACCGTGGTCGAGTTACAATCTAATTAAATCGCAAAATTGAATTGCACCGTGGTCGAGTTACAATCTAATTAAATCGCAAAATTGAATTGCACCGTGGTCGAGTTACAATCTAATTAAATCGCAAAATTGGATTAAAATGGAATCGAATTGGCGCAACTCCGACGTACCGCGAGACCATTGTAAATAAATAATCGCGTAGACGTAAGAAAAGTGTTATTAGCAAATTTTTCTACGGAATTTCTCGACACGGATTACCATTTTTCAATCGCGTGAAAGCGACCATAAGCGCGCGGACGATTCCGCATACAATAGTCATCGGCGAGTGGTCAAGGATTTATTTAGGCCTTTTAGGTAGGGAATCATGAACCGTCCATTTATCGCAGTACTTTCGGTACGTATGTACGTGTACATAGAAATGAAATCTATACTATTAAAAAAAAAAACAGATAAAAGTATAAATAGTAATAGAGATAGAAATATAAATTAAAGTATACACTAAAGTAGATGCAAGAAAATTATATGTATATACACGCGCGCGTATACATACATATACTACGTGAACGGAGTGTCTGTGTGTGTTTGTGTGGGGCGGGGGGGAGATGCGTGTGAATGGAAGCACGATCGGATGCGTTAGAAGCTAGATAAAATTACATGTCCCTTGATTGAGAAACCGAGGCCCTACGAAGTCGATCGCCGCGTTAAAGAATTTCGTTGCTTCTCGGTGTCGGCTAAAATTCGCGTTTGGTCCACGATTTTTGACGCGCGCGCGCGCGGAGAACTTGCAAGTTCATGATGCGGAGTACAGGAGGGAGTTTCTTTGATACTTGGCGTTATAGTGTTCGCAACGTTGCGTTTATCGGCACGTTGCAGAAGTAATTTCGAAATTAAAAAGAATTAAAAAGTTATATTAATTTCTGTTTTGTATTAAAAAATATCGGTTCCTTGCAGAAATAGTCCCAGTGTTCCAAATTGATAATTTGAGAAATGAAACCGGTTGTTAAAAATATCCCAATGAATTTTTATTTTAAAAAAGAATACGTTTGTTCCACGTTCGACGTAAAAATATTTACTATATAATTTCTGTTTTGTATAAAAAATATTGAGTCGTTGCAAAAATAGTCCCAGTGTTCCAAATTGATAACTTGAGAAAAAACCAGTTATCGAAAATATCCCAATGAATTTTTATTTAAAAAAAGAACATGTTTGTTCCACGTTCCACGTAAAAATATTTACTATATAATTTCTGTTTTGTATAAAAAATATTGAGTCGTTGCAAAAATAGTCCCAGTGTTCCAAATTGATAACTTGAGAAAAAACCAGTTATCGAAAATATCCCAATGAATTTTTATTTAAAAAAAGAACATGTTTGTTCCACGTTCGACGTAAAAATATTTACTACATAATTTCCCTTTCGTATAAAAAATATTGAATCGTTGCAAAAGTAGTCCCAGTGTTCCAAATTGATAGCTTAAGAAAAGAAGCCGGTTGTCAAAAATATCTCAATGAATTTTTATTAAAAAAGAGAACATGTTTGTTTCACGTTCGACATAAAAATATTTAGTACATAATTTCTGTTTCGTATAAAAAATACTGAGTCGTTGCAAAAGTAGTCCTAGTGTTCAATTAGAGGCGTCAATTAAAGAGATATTACTGTATGTCCGTAGGGAACTAGGGGCCCATTCGCACGCGCGTGCCGTGTATCTGCGTGTGTGAACAAGAATGCTTGCGTTTTCTCATTTCGTTACGATCCAGCGTTACCAATTTGCACGTGCAGGGTTTTGTTTCTTTTAAATACTTATATATGCGTACACTTATTTATCGAGATCAGATCGCCGAACGATCGTTGATCGCTTAAGTGGCAACGCGGAACGATATTTCTAACGAGAATCGATCGCATAATTTCTGATCCATTTTACAAAAAAATACTGTCGAGATTTAATCGCTTTAATTAGCAGATAATTGGCAGCTACCTAAACAAAAATAGACCATTTGGGAATAGGAGGTATAATACTGTTCGATGCAGTCCATTTTTATACAGGGCGTCCCAAGATTATGGTATTTCCTGAAAATTCGGGGTTCCTGAGGTCATTTCAAGTAACTTTTTCCTTAGCGAAAATGTTCTACGAGGCTTCGTTCACGAGTTATTCGCGAAACAACGCGGACCAATCAAAGACGAGCGCGGCTGGCGCTAGGCGCCCGAGCCAATCAGCGAATCTGGGCTTCGCGCGCTCGTTGGCTCGGCCGCCTGGCGGCAATCGAGCTCGCCTCTCATTGGTCACTGTTTGGTCGTTAATAACTCGTGAACGAAGCCTCGTAGAACATTTTCGCTGAGGGAAAAGTTGCTTCGAATGATCTCAGGAACCCCGCGTTTCCCGGAAATACCATAATTTTGGGACATCCTGTATAGTTGTTGAATTAAAGGACGCGCGATCGACGGTGTCTCGTTCGAGTCGATATCATTGGTTGCCACTTAAGGGATTCGAAATACAGTGAATTCTCCCTAATCGACGCTCAGCTTGCAAGCAAAAATGGATAATTCAAGAAGAGAAGGCACGATTTATCGAGTCTTGCGGCTCGTTTCTATAGTTGTTAAAAATTATTAACTATAAAAACGAGCTGCAAGGCTCGAATAATAATTCCCAAAATTATCCAAAAAATAATCTAATTTAAAATTCGCAAATTATCCATTTTCGTGCAGAATCTGAGCGTCGATTTGGGAGAATTTACTGTGCCTGCTATCGGTTAATGATTTCGCAGCGTGTTTGAGAAATTTGCTGGAAAACAGAGAGAGAGAGAGAGAGAGAGAGAGAGAGTGAGAGCGCGAAGGTGAGAGAGCGCGAGAGAGAGAGCGCGAGAGAGAGAGAGCGCGAGGGTGAGAGGGAGAGAGAGAGTTTCCGACTAACAGAGTGTCGTTGCCGTTAGCATTCTACACTGCCCGAAAATGATGTTCGCGCGATCCGCAATCCCGGGATCGAGAATGGCCATGTCGGGCCGTGTCGGGCCGTGTCGGGCCGGTGTTCACGATCTCGCCAGAATCGTAACGACGAGTGTGCCTTTGAAACGAGATCGCGAACGTCCATTTCACGAAACGAATCGTTTACACATATTTGTGAAAACATTCTAAAGTTTAACATAAGTAACGAGGAATTTGCGGGGAGAAACGTCGCTTCGATCGAGAACCGATCGATGATCGAATTTGTACAAAACGACGAGAAATGTTTTTCTTGTTCTGTTGTTCTAACTGTGCTTCCGGTTTGTAGTTTCGCTCTTCAGCTATTTTACTTTCGGTTGATCTTCTGTTTCGTCAATGTATAAGGTACATTTTCAAAAATATTGTTTACATTGTCCATCGAGCAAAGGACAGAATCGCAGTGGCGCGAGTCAGATTTTACGAAGCGATTTCCCGCTCGTGTAATCTTTACGTGGGAAAATAATATAGAAACGAGTTAAATAAATTATAATTGTAATTGGCTCATAATTAGGATTAGGATTACACTATAATTATAATACGAATTGTAACTCATAAATGAAATTGCTGTTATAATAAAAAATTAATGATTATAAATAAATAAAAAATAAAAATAATAAATAAAATAAATAAATGATTATAATAAAAAATTAACTTATAATTATAATATAAATTGACTCATAATTACAATTACAATTAACTCATAATTATGATTATGATTAAGTTATAATTGTAATATAAATTAACTTATGACTGTAATATGAATCAACTCGTAATTACAGTTATAATTATCTCATAATTATGATTATGGTTAACTTATAATTGTAATATGAATTAACTTATAATTACAATTATGATTAATTTGTCATTACGTTTATGATTAACTTGTGGTTATAATTAAACATGAAATTAAATTATAACGTGAATTAACTAATAATTGCAATTACAATGAACTCATAATTATAATACGAATCAACTTATAATTACAATACGAATTCAACGGAGCCCTAAATTATCGCAACAATAAATTTGGTCAGTAAACAATGCACAAGTCAGTGAACAATAACACTGCTTGTTCCTCTCAACGACGAGAAAAATCCGACACGCGCCACTAAACATTCCGATCCACTGAATCACAATTAATTGCAACGAGTACAATTCGGATCGTTCTCCGAAACCAAAGTGCAACTCTCGATTCCCGTGCAATCGATTCTATTCTAATCGGACTTCAACGCGAACCGCGTACCGCGACGTCGAAATTGCAATACGACCACCGTAATTAGAATAATATCTAGAAAACAAAGAACAACAACGCCAACGATCCGAATTCTGTTCGAGTCGTGTCTCGAGTCGCGAAAATCACGGCCACCGAATATCGCGTTTTATTTTCAGCGATTTTTCGTTCCGACGCGGTCCACGCGACCTCGACGGAAGTTCGAGGACCTCTTCAACCACGACTTTTCAACTTATTGTCCGTCGATGTCGTTCGATCGGCAGCGCGAAGGGAAACCGTGTATACATTCGATCGCGATCGAGCGACGCGTTTTTCGGCGAGCAGCCGGGGGAAAAGGAGAAACGAACGATCGGCGTGCGGAACGACGATTTGAGAAGCTTTGTAAAAAAATAAAAAAAAAAGTGAACGAGGAGAAATTCGATGTCCGGCAACGAATCATAGCGGCTAGAGGACCAAAGATAGAATAAGTCGGACCTGGTCGAACGGTTACTGTCCGGGTTCTCGCGTGCAAAGACGAGAGGAACTCGAGACTATTGAAATTTTCATCGATCGGTTTTCAGTCCGATGATCGAGAGACCCCGAAGTTCACCGAAGACTCTGGGTCCCGCGTGCGTACGTAAAGATTCTGTATTATACATACACTCCTCTCCAAAAGTATCGGGGCACCTTCTCAGTCGATACAAATTGTAACTGTTTTTTCTTCGCTCGGTTCAATGTCTGCTTTAGTTTAAACAATGTCTGCGAGTTTGATGGCATCGTGCGCGTCGAATTAATAGCGTTTGTCGCTTGTACGATTAGTATTTCCCCGTTTATGGCATTCTGTTCGTTGAGAACGTGCGCCGAGCTCGTTTCGTTTTGTAATTACAATTTCTCCCTAATTCGCGCTCGGATTGCGCACAAAAGTAGACGATATTTTTTTATTGTGCTGTTAAATATTGCATTGTCTATATTCGTCACAGTTCCGTAAAAAGTCCAGTATGAAACAAATTGTAAGAAATTGTAATAATTGTAAAAATTTCGAATTTTCTTCGTAAAGTGTCCTGATACTTTTGCCGGAGGGTGTACTTGCCGTTAAGCTTATCGTTAATCAATTAGGCGCGCGAACGCCGAGAAAATCGTAGAAACTTTCGTGTTTCTCCGATTCGTTTTGCGAGCGCCGCGACGAACAGCTGCCGCGACGAATCCAGCTGTCGGAATAATTGTTAAGCGAACGCGATCGCGTTTTGCGCTGTTACCGTTGTAGCCGTAATTGGATTAGATCAATATAGTACATATACATATATGTACCGCGATCGGGATCGATTCGATCTGTGTGTGTGTGTGTGTGTGTGTGTGTGTGTGTGTGCGCGCGCGCGCGCGCGTGCGTGCGTGTGCGTGTGCGTGTATGCGTGTGTGCGTGTGTGTGTCGTCGAAGAGATTCGCCCGTGGCCATATAAATAACCGGCAACGAATTCGCGGATTCGATTAACCCTCGATCTACAGAGTATCCCAAAAATGTCTCGCAATTTGGAAATGGGAGATTCCTGAGGTCATTTGAAGCAACTTTTTCCTTAGCGAAAATGTTCTACGAGGCTTCGTTCACGAGTTATTAACGAACAAACACTGACCAATCGGAGGCGAGCGCGTGGCGGCGCAGCCAACGAGCGCGCGAAGACCAGTTCCGCTGATTGGCGCAGCAGTCTCGCGGCGGCCGAGCTCGCCACTCGTTGCTCACCGATGACTCGGTAATAATAGCTCGTGAACAAAGCCGCGGATTGCATTTTCGCTAAGGAAAAAGGTTACTTCGAATGACCTCGGAAATCCACCATTTCCAGATTTCGAGGCACTTTTGGGACACCCTGTATTTACGCGTTGCAGTCGATTTATTGGAATCCGCGCACCGATCGAATTCTCGCGGCTCTCTAGTTCGAAGGTCTATAGTCCTCGCGCGGCAAGAAGGCGCCTTTCCGTTCGCGTACCCCCCCCCCCCCCACTAGCTAGTCCGCTGCCGCAGCTAGTAAGTGGAGGGGACGTAAACAGAAAAGGTGCCTCCGTNTTTCCGTTCGCGTCCCCCCCCCCCCCTACTAGCTAGTCCGCTGCCGCAGCTAGTAAGTGGAGGGGACGTAAACAGAAAAGGTGCCTCCGTGTCACGCGAGGACTGTACACGTGCCGTCGGTGAGCGCGCGGGAACAAAAAGCAGCGTAACATCGCGTTTTATTCAATCATGATTTTTCATACTTGATAGCTCGAGGGTTAAGAACGAATATTATATAATTCAGGCAGGCTCTCATCGAACGAGCGAGCGAGAGAGAAGCGAGAGAGCGAGTCAACGAAGCGTGCAACGAGCGACAGCGTGAATGAACAGATTTGTGTTAATCGGTAAAACCAAAAAATATGTTTATAATTGGTATAGATACGCTATCGATTGAATAAATTGTTTTTCTTATAAACCGTCTTCTCGATCATTTCCATCGGAAACGCAACGACCGTCGACGATGGATTCTTACCTGGTCATAGTGGTGGAGAGAACCAGTTATTGTGGACTGGCCGATTACCGTGCCTCTTTCTCGTTTATTCTCCCAGCGTGATTAACTTTACATTTATCGCGGATCGATAAATAATATAATAATAATAATAATAATATTATATAATAATAATATAATAATAATATATAATAATAATCATAATAAATAAATATAATAATAATATAATAATAATAATTCGACCGATCGTTTGTTCGTTAATATTAAATTTGTTAAAATATTTCGACGCGGTAAATACGAGACGCTATATTATTTTTCGAATAAATATTAGGATTTTAGTATTATTTATTATTATTATTATTATTAGAATATTAGAACAGTCCGATTTCTTTTCTTTCACGATTCCCGCGCGACGGCTGTAATAATTCTTTTAAATGAATCAAATCTTCTTGTCAAGGTTATAAAACAATACACACCTTAGTCGCGTCTAATGGCGCGGTAGTTTCAGCGTCGAAACCAGTCCAGGTTCACTGTTGTACTAGGTGCTGGGTACAGGTGTACCGTACAGGTGTGCCATGCGATTCGTTTCCACGCGAACGGCGAACAGTTGAAACATCGAGGATTCGTCGAAAATCGGAGCGGCGCAGAGACTTTCCGGAGCCATCGTGGAATCTACCGATCGGAGCTGAAATCTTCTGGAAGCTCGCCACCGCCGCCACCGCCGCCGGCCGGCGATTGAACGAGAAGACAGCCGGGAGTGAGAGAAAGAGAGAGAGCGAGAGATAGTCGGCATTAATAATTTGTCGCTCGGTTCCCTTCGCCGGGTCACGTGAAGCGGCGAGTGACCGTGTCCGGTGGCGTTTCTGTTATCTCTCGCGTACCGGTTACCGGTTAACGCGGCTCGCCGGGACAAAGCGACACGGCGCGGTTATTACCAATGCCTTCGCTATATAAATAACGAGTCGGTAAACAATACCGTTCTCCTCGAGCAACACGCGACATGCCATGTGCGCTGCACGGCCGAGCCGCGCCGAGCCGAGCCGAGCCGCGCCGAGTCGGCTCGCGATTGCTCTAGAATCTAGGAATCACACTCGGGATCGCGCCGTGGCAAAAACCGTGCGCGTTCCGCGTTCGGGTTCTCTTTTATCGGCCGTTATTTACACTTGCCCGATTGATAAAATCATTACAGCGAGACGAAAGCTGTGCAATCGCGTTCGAAACCGAGGCCTCGGACTGTTCGCGTTCCACCAGCGTTTCGGTATCTTTTTTCTTTTCTTCTTGAAATATTACTCTGCTATTTCCTGGAGAATGTCCACATATTTCTGCATAATTTACCGAAGTATACTTTGCGATTCGTACGAAAATATACGCTATTCTTTCAGAATCGATAGCCTTTCAAAGAGTTTCGATCTTCTTTTATTTCGTTGTACACTTGAAAGAATTCCTCGCTGTACAGGGTTATGTCAAGGTTATGTCATTATGTCAGGCGGTCCAATTTGAGGTTGTAAAAGAATCTTGTGCACGCGTGATTTAAAAGAAAAAACAAACCGACACGTGTCCTTTAGTACGAAGTCTTAGTATAAAGGTTTCAGCCGAATGGCGCTACTGGGTTTTTAATGCGTGGCCGTTTTTAAGGTTATGTCAGGAGCGGCAAAATTTTTACTTAATGACAGTTTTTTATTTTCTTCTGCCATTCCAAGCGATATCAGAATTTCAAAAAAGCGTTCCGGTTATGAGTCTTGTAGAGATTGGTCTCTGTATCGTGCAAAAAAAAATTCAAATCGTTTAAACCGGTCCTAAAAAACCAACCTGTGTTTAACCCTCCACACTCTTGTCGCTTAAAATTGCCGTATCGTTTTTTTTTCTTTTTAAACAATGTTTGCATCGCAAAAATTGCGCAAAGCTCGCTACGAGCAGCAGGACAAATAAATATCCTCGTTTTCGCGCGAACGAAACTAGTTTCGAGCGCGGTGACACCGCGTACGGCAAATCGAATCGCGTAAAAAATTCCATCGCGTTCTATTATCTTTTTCTCGGCGACTATTTCTAAAATGGCGGCGACGTCTGCGGCTGGTGATAACGTTATCCTAATTTCGATCGGCAGGACTGCTTGATTTACGACGCAGAATTTCTGTGTTCACAAATATATGTATATACATATTATATATATGTATATCTCGCCGGATACTTTCCTGATAGGCTCGACCTTCTGCTTTTCTACTTTTCTTCTATGCGCGAGGCGGACACCTCGATAAGATAACTAACTTCGTTACTTTTTACGCTGTTCCGTTGTTTCCGTAATTAGTACAACCGACGCTCCTTTTTCGGGCCGCCGTATATATGTGTATATATATAAAGGGTGTCCCAAAAATGCCTCGCAATCCGGAAATGGCGGATTCCTCGGATCATTTGAAGCAGCTTCTTCCTTTACAAAAATGTTCTCCGAGGCACCGTTAACGAGTTATCAACGAAAAACAGTGACCAATAAGAATCGAGTACGGCCGACGCGAGGCGGCTCAGCCAACCAGCGCGCGAAGCCCGGTTCTGTTCGTTGACTCAGTCGCCTCGCGCCAGCCGAGCTCGCCTCTCATTGGTCACTGTTTTTCGTTGATAACTCGTTAACGGTGCCTCGGAGAACATTTTTATAAAGGAAGAAGTTGCTTCGAATGAGCCGAGGAACCCGCCACTTTCGGATTGCGAGACATTTTTGGGACACCCTGTATACATTGTCGACGACCATAAAAACGAGCCGCGAGGCTCGAACAATCGTATCCCCTTTTCCCGAATTGTCCATTTATTTTCTTTTTTGTACAATCTGTGCGTCAATTAGGGAGAATATATGAACTTTCATCGCGAAACTTTTACAAGCTCTACGCATTGTAAACTACGGCGATGGTCGATCCTATAACAGTAACGTAAAGAGAATGTTTATTGCCGAGTCACTTGCGTTTATCTTTTCTTTATACATATGTATATACAGGGTGATACGCTTAAATCGAACAACCGAGTTATTTCCGTTGCTACGAAAGGCGGGAAAAGAGGAGGCGACGTTTAAACGGTTTCGTGGCGCGCATCCGATGGCAACGAAGAATCGTTCTACCAAGGTCGTTCGAATAATTTTTTCAAGGTCATCGACATTTTTCTGGCCGATCAACGTTTATCTTTTATAGCGCGACGTTGTTGCTCGCGTCGAGACCAGTTCGATGATCTGCGATATCATGACCTCGGGATGACTTTGACGGTTTAAAAAAAAAATCAGTTGAAATTTTGCAGACAATTCTGGGACGTTTGAAAAGGAAAAGAACGCGATTTGGAGATATTCCACTATTTTATAGCAAATAGTATTAGCTGAGTAATGCGGTATTGAAATATTTTTAAATGTGCAAGGCATGATAATAATAATATTATTATCACTATTATTATTAATAATACATAACAATATTAATAATATATTATTATTATTATTATTATTATTATTATTATTATTATATTATATTTATATCTGTCTCTTATACACATCTAGATGTGTATAAGAGACAGATATAAATATAATATAATAATAATAATAATAATATATTATTATTATTATTATTATATTATATTTATATCTGTCTCTTATACACATCTAGATGTGTATAAGAGACAGATATAAATATAATATAATAATAATAATAATAATATATTATTATTATTATTATTATATTATATTTATATCTGTCTCTTATACACATCTAGATGTGTATAAGAGACAGATATAAATATAATATAATAATAATAATAATAATATATTATTATTATTATTATTATATTATATTTATATCTGTCTCTTATACACATCTAGATGTGTATAAGAGACAGATATAAATATAATATAATAATAATAATAATAATATATTATTATTATTATTATTATATTATATTTATATCTGTCTCTTATACACATCTAGATGTGTATAAGAGACAGATATAAATATAATATAATAATAATAATAATAATATATTATTATTATTATTATTATATTATATTTATATCTGTCTCTTATACACATCTAGATGTGTATAAGAGACAGATATAAATATAATATAATAATAATAATAATAATATATTATTATTATTATTATTATTGTTATTATTATTTCATTAAATTAAATGCAATTTTCTGCAATTAAAAATTGCATTTAATTTAATGAAATAATAATAATAGTAGTAATAATATAATATTAATATTAATAATATTATTATTATTATTTCATTAAATTAAATGCCATTTTCTTTAAACTTCATTATTTAGACGCATCTCGGTATCGAATTAGAGCAGCGATATTTCGTGCAGAGATTCCAAGAATTCCCCATTGCAATGAACACGTTAAATTATTATCGACTTCGTTTCGCTTCAGCGCGATTAAACGTACCAAAAAAAAACGAGAAAAAACGCACGAAAGAGCGTGCAATATATATATACATATAATTGCTCCCGTCTCACGGGCTGTTCTTAAACGTCCGTTGTCTACGAACGAACGGTGTATAACAGCGAAATCGGACGGTTTAATTGAAACGTTCCATTTTTGGATGCGCGAAGCCTTCGAGCGAGGCAGGTGAGGAAACGGCGAACGGAGAAAAAAAGGAAGAGAACGGAACAAGGGGATCGGCGGTAATAGATTATCGACGATTATCCGTCGCCGTAGGGACAAATTGCCGAACCGGAGGACGCCCTCTTTCGCAAAATAAGCGACGAAAGCGCGATAGAAAATAAAGAAGATAAATTGCCCCGCGCGCGATATCATCTCGCAACACTTTTATTTCGGCCGCGGAGGGCCTCCCTTTGATTCTTCTTGCGCGCGCGCGAACCCTGTCACTTTCTCGGCGGAACGTAACGCGGCCGGGCTCGCGGCGGCGCGTCGCGCGGATCGCAATTAGCATTAGCATAACGGCGACACGATGATACCATTCGGCCGGCGAGATCCTT